CTACTGGCAACAGAACTTCGGTGTTCCTTTCTAAATATAACGTTGCACTCTGACCGGCCTCTCCCCAGCCTCTGGAAACCACTGTTCTACTCTCAACTTCTATGAAATCGACTTTTTAAAGTTCCACCCATGAGAGGGATCACCTGGTATTTGTCTTCGGACCAGGCTTATTTCACTGAACGCGCTGACCTCTGGCCTCCTCCCTGTAGTTGCAGATGACAGGATTTTCTTCTTCCCTGGCTCAGTGGTATCCGCTGTGTGTGCGCTAGGTTTCCTTGTCCACCCATCTGTTGCTTCCACACCTTGTGATTGTGCACGGCTCCGCGGTAAATACCCGAGGAAAGCGGTCTCTTCAACTCGCTGCTTTTCTTTCCTTTAGATACAAATACCCAGCAGCGCAATGGATGGATCCTAGGATAGTCTTTTTAAAAATTTTTTGGGAACTTCTACCCCATTGTCCATATTGACTGTAGTATCTGAACATAATTCACAAATGAATGTCCATCTTGGGATGAGGCTTCAACCTCGGTACGAAAGGGCCGGAAAACTGAAAAAGCATTTTAGGATTGGTTTTCCCAAGGCAACTTTGCCTCCCAGGGACCGTGGCAATGTCTGGAGTCCAGTTTGATTGCGCAATTGGGGAGGGCTGTCCCTGGCACCTCGTGGGTGGAGGCCAGGGATGCTGCCCCGCACCCTACAGAGCCCAGGACATCTCACAAGGCGGTCCCCCCCCTGACAGCGCATGCCAGCTGAGACCCTGCCCCAAACACCACTGTCTGGCTTCCTTCTCCCCTCTATTCTTCGCCTAGCTAAAACCTTAAACTTCAGGGCTTCTGTACAAATTGTCCCCTTCTCCATGAAGCCATGGCTCGTGTCCTCAGGCTGGACAAGAGCCCATCTAAGGGCTCCCCAGCCCACTGCGTGAGAATGGTCCTGGACCACGGGATTGTCAACCTCCCGACTTACAGTGTGGATTCCCTGGCGCCTTGAGGCAGCGGATTCTGCCCGGCTGTTAGGGGCCAGGAATCTGTATTCTTCCTCATCGTCTGCCCCTACCGCGGTCCCACCGTGGGTGGCCCAGTGACCAGGGGAGTGTCTACGGTGTGGCAGGCTCCATTAAGTTTCCTGCCGGGGAATCCCGGCACACACTCTGCCCCAGGAGGTAGGCTTTCCTGTCGTGCCCATTTTACAGAGAAGTAAACTGAGCTTCAATGAGATGATGGTGGCCAGGTGAAAGACTCAGAGCAAGAAAAGGGGCCAGGTGCCTGATTCCCGGGAGAGCGAGAGCGCGAGCGCGGGGCGCAGGGTGACGAACTGGGGAGCGCGCTCGGAGGTG